GTAGTACCACTTAATTTTCTACACACTTTCCTTCTATCCAGAATGTTGACCGTTTTCTTTATTTCTATAGAATCATTAATCATAAGCTCAGATGTGAAGTCCCAATAGCCTACAAAATGCTGTATTTTTGACCATTATATTTTGTGTCCTCTATTAGTTATGTATTCAGGGAATTCAGATTTTTGCACCCATATACCGGTTTCGTATTCATATGATCTCTTCTGGATGTGTCGGCTGGTCTCTCCCACATGGGTACTACCACATAAGCACACAACCTTATAAAACAATGAACCAGAAAGATCGTCCCAAAATTCTTGATGATTTCTTCGCACAGTCAAATACTCTTTACTCCAAAGCAATTCTCCTTCGGGGCTACGAATTGCTCCCATCCGACCTTTTCTTCAAAATGAAATGACTGTTCGCATAGGAGACGCAGAAATGAGCACATTAACAAGATCCCCTGATCGCCCATACCGAGAAGAATAAACCAGATTATAGCAAATCAAGAAGGAACAGAGTAACTAAAAAGCTAAAGATAATTACAATGGCATACACAGTGAAACGATTGTAATAAAGATGTGTTTTTGATGCATATATGTGGTATGCGGGACACCCAAAAGAGATAACAGGGAAATCGAAACATGGTACAGCATAGTGCAATGTATTCCATCCACTCCTGATTACATCATATCCACCTTTATACAGAGTCGTTTGCGTTTGCTAGCAGACTTTTGCCTCCAGTCTCACAAAATATACCTCAGCTCACAACCCCCCACATGTTATGCGTAATTTCATTTTTCCCTTGTTCCTCTGTATAGAACACTTTTAAAATCGAGGCCTTAGGATTCCAAGTTAATTCTAGGGACGGCAAGAGTACAAACTGTTGGCCATTTTTCTCCCTCCTTATTTAATTTTCATAATACCTATTCTGCTATTATTTTTTTTGCCAATTTTTCATTGTATGCTTTCTATATGGGTATCCGTTACTGAGAAACAGCCCAATCAATTTGCTCTTAGACTTCTGATAATCATGCACCACATTATTCCTATCTTCATTCTGTAATTGTGAAGAGACGGGAGAAAGGATTACTTCTGGATGCGAGCTCTTTCTGAATAGTCTGCTCTTGAGTATCCCGTTGGAATGAATAGTGTTCATATCCAGGGATGGTAGCTGTCAATCACTCTTCATCTCCATTGTGAATAGAATTCTTCCATGGTGCTTGTTTAAAGACTTAAGCAATTGTTATAAAGTAAGCAATGTACCCACCATAGGTTGCATTTGGTTAGAAAGGATTAAAAGTTGACTTTTCCCAAACTCACATGCTTAGGCCTCACGATTCAAAGGAAGTTTAGCCCCAGGGCTGAAGTCTACTTTGTATGAATATAAGTAACGCAGTCGATTGTAATGAGAAAAAAAACAAGTTTGCCTTATCGGCAATCATGAGAGTGACCTGGCATCTCTTGGAGTTCGAGTCTGCCTGGTGACCAAAAAGCACACATGGTGACAGCGTTTTGAGATTGTACGTTGCTCTAACATAATTCAAGTTCGAGTCCTGCCGAGTGAGAAAACCATCATCACATTATGCAGCATAGGGTGACTAAAACTCTTATTCGAGTTCTACTGCCTCGAAACTTACTTTATATCAAGGCACTAACTTAGCACATTTGCTCTATAATCGAAGAAGATTGTTTCATAAAGAATGCTACGGTAAAGATAAACGAAAGCTGGGAATGAAGGGGCTCTTCTGGTGGGATCCTCCTTCGATTCTCTTAAATACTCGAAGTACACGGGTTTATAACATCGCATTAGCCTTTAAGTAGGCAACTCAGTATAATTATGGGTTGCTTCACTTGGGAGTAGTTTTTTTGCATTGAAATGATGCCATTTTCATTGGTACCTCATTGTTGCAAGTGGATTAGTCAAGATTTTATTCAAAAATTATTGACAAATTATAAAAATACGTATATTGAAGATAGGTAACCTCATCGCTTTTAATAGTAAATGTAGGTTTTTCATACTAACTTTGTCCACCTTATTTAGTTTAAGGTATAAAGACCATACGTTGGACTGTCCAGGTTCGAGTCCTTTTGTGAGCACTGATGCTACCAATTCAGGCAAGGTCAAAACTACAGTCCACTCCTGTCTGGATGAGAAAGCCTTTTTTGGAAGCAAGGCTGATTGCAATTCAATGGAAACATGATTGTTGAAAAATTCAATTAGCACACCTTCATCACCTTAAACGAAATAGACTCAACACACTTCTTATACAAAATCTACTGTTATTCTAGAAGACACAATTAAAATGAAAATACAGGTTTGCCTAGTCGATCAACCCATTATCTCATTGCGATCTGGAACATGTTTGGCTGGCTGTTAAAGTCCCATTTGTCAATTGGCATCGTTGGCTGTGCGATGGAGTGTTAGCGTGTCGCCATTTGTTATGCACAATATATGCTTTCGAATCCTGTCATCGGGTGTGACGAGACTTCCGTCCAGCCTGGTCGACAATTGAATTGTGAGGTCTACCCTTTCCATTGTGGGAAAAACTTCATTATCAGTCCGTAAATCATCTTATGCCATCTTGACTGTCAAGTTTTTATTTAAAGAATTACTGATAGTCGCAGTAATTCTCAGTCTCGTATATCGCAAAATGTTCGTCAGAATTTTGTCATAAATCCAGTTTTTCCCGCCCAAAGCGACGCCTTCAATTGTCGAGTGGCTATGCCATGCCAGCCAACGGTGTTATGAGTCAACGAAATTGGTGTTCTCTTTCAGTCTCGATGCTTCGCAATTCTCCTGGCAATTCGTTCTCCCTTTCTCGCTCTCTTTCTTTATTTCTCTGCCTGCGTCCCTTCGGCCAGACTGGCCGACCGGATTTCCTATCACCGGGCGAGTCTAGGCTGCCAAGCCGGGGGTGGAAATGGGGTTGGAGTGAAGGGTGGGGCTTGGGGAAGACGGGGTCGGTTGTGCCCGAGGTGGCAGAGCCCACGATAAATTAGGCCCGAAGTGAAACGAAAAAGTTGGGCTAATCCAAATTCGACTGTTGTCCTCTTCATTTCGAGACTGATAGCAACAGCAGAACAACAACGAATTTGGCTTTCACGGCATACGCATTTGGACTCGTTTGCACAAGACTGGAGCGTAAAGACGACAAGATCGTTGTTTTTCTAGCGGCTTGGCTGACGGCAGTTTGCCTGTCTACCGGTTTTATCAAGTTTCTCACATGTTCCGGTTAGTGGAGACCAGCGATACCGAATTCAAGTGAACATTTCCCATCTTCCCGATTTCTTATCCGAGAAGTTTTGTCGTTTGGGCTGATTTTCCAGGCCTCCGGGAATGCTGGAAGCAAATGAGGCCGACTTCACGTCACGTCCAGTCCAGACAGTAGGGCTAGAATGTGTCCTGCTGTATCGGTCGCCGGGGCAACAGGGTCATGTGCCGTTAAAGGTTTCATTTGGCCATCACATCTAATTTGGCCAATTCGTGCCAAGTTTTGCTTAATTCAGTAACATTTCTATTAAGTTGAGGTTCGGTTGTGCGATCTGATCATACACTCATGTTGGGAATAAGTTTAGGTATAGTCTCCATTTTATGGTTTATTAGCCCTTTTATGAGTAGTACTAATCTCAATTTTGCTGACAATAACTTCTATGAACAAACTTAAGAATCTGGCATAGAACACATTTTGACGGATACTTAGATGGTGAACTTTCGCCGAACATTATTAAGTGGATATACGGATGACAATTGAGCCTACTTCTACTTCGAGTGGAAGGGTTTGGTGAAGAGATTCGAAGGCCAATCCCACCAAAAGACGACGACGGATTTCTCTTGACCACCCGTCAATTGGGCCTACTGGAATATTCTTGCTAATGCTGTTTCTGAGGCAACTTCCTCAGATTACAGTGAAACATATCAAGCCTTCGCCCATCGCATGATGCACATCCTCAGAGCAGATGCTATCATTCTTACAACCTATTCAAGATAACTAATCTGGAAAAATCGCCAGCTTTTACTAACTGCTGTATATATTCCATATAAATATATATGCTTTTTAATTAGGTACGAAATTATTTGATTAGTTTAAGTCATATTTCAACCTCGGAGCATGTGAATGTGTCTGTGTCTGTGTGATTATGTACCTTAATGTGTTCATATATGTACGAAATTAGCAGTGAGGGTTCAAAATAATTAAAACAGAAAAGTAACGTCCTTTCTTTGCCATCAAGGTTTGATGAGCACCACCAACCTCTTTATCTATCTATCTATCTATCTATCTATCTATCTATCTATCTATCTATCTATCTATCTATCTATCT